CTTAATACTACAGACTAGCCTGGGCTGAAGTCGAGCTAAAGACTTTAAAAAAGCGCTGGTTGGGAGGCAACCCAACACTTCTATCCCTTTCATTTATTTTGCTTTTTAGTCTTAGAATAATTTAAGATAATTTAGATTATTTTTTTGTTATTATTCAATTTTAGGGACTCATTTTTCATGCCCATTTTTTCCTTAGATTTTTGATATATGAGTGGTTTATTAGATGTTAAAACTAAGTAACACTTGTTCCAATTATTTAATTTTAATGTTTTATTTGACTGTATTGCGCAGAAACATAATGTCGCGAAACACTTAAACCAACCAAAACCAAGGAGCTAACGGGAGCAATAGGAACCTAGCCATTGGATTACAAGTCATATCAGTGGAGTCTTTTTCTTCCCCACCTCTTTATATGCAGATTTAAGATTTAAAACATTGAGAACAATGTCTAGTTTAAGGTTAGGTGGAAAACATGAGTTTTCATTTATTATTATTATTATTATTATTATTATTATTATTATATTTGTTTTCATTTTTTGTGTGTTTGTGTCATTCTTATGTTTATGTATTTTTGTGTGCATTTATTGCATTAATTTAGATATAAAAAAATTGAAAATTAAAAAAAAAATTCTTTTTTTGTGCTTATGTGAGTTAGTTGGCCTGACTGACAATGAAAAGTATATTGAATTGTTAATTGATCTATGAATGTTGAATAAGTTATGCTTAGATTAATTTTTGCTTGTGAAATTTGATATATATTGAGCACATGAATTAAGTTAAGCATTATGTAGGAATGAGTTGATTTCACAATTGGATAAGTTAAAATAGTAGACCATAGATGCTAAATTCAAAACCACTAAATTTTACATCCTTAGACCAGATTTATAGTAGTTTGGGAAATTTAACTGTTGTAGGAAGATGTTGAGATAAATAAGGATTCCACATGTGAAATTAAAAATCTTGTGTGGATTGTTTAAGGTCAATGGGATGCAATTTTGTGAAATATTCAAGTTAGAAGTCATTTTACTTGGAATGAGGAAAATTGCACTAATCAATGCATAAAAAAATACATTTTATTGGAAAATTTCTCTTTGTCGCCTTTATAACTCGAGTTATTAATCTTGTAAAGGTGTTAAAACCTCTTGCTCTAAAGTCAACTGACTCTATAGTTATCGGCCTAAATGTTGTTACATGAATCATTTAGAAAATTTAAAGGAGAGAATGCTGTAAATAAAGAAAGAAAAAAGAGGTGCATGAAACAGAAGACGCACCAAATACCTTGATTATGTCTCAAATACTTGTTTAAGAAAATTTGACTTTTGATAAGAGATTGTTAGCCTAATTAAGTCCTAGACATTGAAGCAATCAAA